GTGGAGGCGGTGGGCGAGCAGATAAACAACTTCTCAGAGTGGGATTATGCTAGTGTATGTGTCAAGGTTAGGGTTGCGTGGGCCTTGTCTCTAAATGTGGCACAACAAATGGTGGAGCTAAGCCTGCGTCCACTAGAGACACAGAGTAGCCTTCCAAACGGGCTTGTTAGAGGGCATGGAGGGAACTCATCAGAGCACGGGACCACGGCTGACAGAGAAGCTTGTTAACTGGAGTACGGTAACCAAGAGGGTGGCTCATTAGAGAGAAGCACCAGTACCCTGCACGGGGCCATGCCAACATTACCAGATGGTTTCCTGTCGAGCCGATGGAAAGCACAGATATGAACCGTTAAATTATGCTACATGTTTATTTTTTAGCGTGAAAACAGTGAAATCCTTCTTAGTCCCATTTAATCATCTGAAAGTGTATCAGAATTTGATTTTTTTTTTTCCTTAAGCAAAGGAGTTCCAGTTTCAGTTCACCATGAGCTGTAACAAAGTTTGCCGATGACAGCAACAAATCTATCCTGTTGCAACATTGCCCCCTTCTGGTTATGGAAACAGGAAGCCCAGACTGACAGTTTGAAAACCACTGACACTTTACATTCACTGTGAATGACTGTTTGCAGTCTCTCAATCTTTATAAGAGCGACACTTTCCAGTTTTATTATCATAAAAGCTTCCATTGAGATCCGACAAGACATCACGAACAATTCACTCCAGGAGGAATACAAGCAGTTGCACCTGAATCTTATTTGCACAATTTAACTTATTTTAATATTCAATGCAGGCATGCTTCAACAAAAGAGTACCATCTCAAAGCATATCCCAAAATTTAAAGAATTGTTGGATGTTATTAGTTCAAGCGTTGACTGAACGTGCATCTATACAAACGCTGATGTGATTGGAAGGCATCTAATTACTCATTTGTTATGAAGAAAAGCATGGCCACCAAAATAAAATTTTAAAAGTAGAACACAATTGAGCCAGAGAGATAAAAAGAAATTAGAACAATTTCCTTTAAAAAAAAGGTTTAACTTTTCCTGAAAACTCTTAATTACTCCTAATGCAACAATGTAGCCAAAAGCACTACATGAAACTCATTAAGATCATCTGGGCTATTTAACCATGAAAGAAATTTAGATTAATTTATCTTTGGATAGAAGAGAAATAGTCAGCAAGTCTGGCGTTATTCTCCTGTGTAGTCCCTTATGGCAAATTAAATCCAACATAATGAATAAGGATGAATTACAGTGTAAATATGTATAGATGGAGCAGTACAGCATTTGAAACGGGATCTAATGACAAATCACAAAAGTCAGCAGTTATCACAGTAAATCAGAAGTAATAATGTTTATACTGACAATTATGTCTGAAGAAATAGGATTGGTGTTAAGTAATGTGATGACCAAGTATTGCTGATTTATGCAAGATAAATATAAAGCAGAGTTGGTCAAACGTTTAATTTTTGGGCCACTTATTTTGAAGAGCAGACACTTGTTCAATCCTAGTCAAATATTTAATCGATAAATCAATTGGATCAGTTTATGAATTTATGTTTTATATACTTAAACAGTTCTATATGAAATCTTGCAGGAAAAAAAAATGCATCCAGATTTATTATCAAGTCATAGACCTTCACGGCTTTGTAAAGTAGATCTTATGCACTTTCAAATGAACACAAAAAGCCCATTTAAATTTTCTAACAGTTGTGCTGGTATGCGAGACAGTGGTGTCAGGGCTACTTGAAACAAGGATGATGAAAAGTGGAGTTTCAGTTCAACATTTAAACAAGCTTTTCTTGTTGAATGATATCCCAATATCCTACAATCTCTAAAGATTTCTGGGAAGCATATTTTCATCATGTTACTCTTTCCAGCAGAAGCAAAATCCACTCACAGTAAACAGGTGATTTGTTTTTCCATTTTATTCAGACTTGGTGAAAATGGGAGGAAACAAATGTGACCAGTAACGATTTGAGACAAATGTGTAGTCTTTTTTTGCCATTTAATTTTTTTTTCTTCACATTATTGCTTTACAGTAAAATGCATTGGTTGGATATGTCCAGTATAGCAAGACAATACATTCATATAAGTTATACAGATGTCCTCGGTAATGTTTTATAATAACTAACTTTACATTAAATATATTTTTAATCATTATTCTTGACAACTCCCACATCACATTGAGCTCACAGTGCATCAGGTCGCATTCAGTCAGTACATACCAGTCCTCGTGTTTAATTGCAGTTTCTAGTGTGTCCTTAAGTGTGTATGCATATTTTAACTATTTTACAAGATGTCCATACAATCTGGATTGATGCAGAGCTACAACTCATTTGACTTCGTGCTTTTTTTTGCTCTTGCCCCCAGTTTTGGGTTTAAAAAAAAAAAGAAAAAAAAAAAAGAAGAAAACCTGCAACAAAGATAAGCCAGAAATCCAGTAAGGACATATGCCATGCTTTAGACTTTGGGCAAACGGTGATAAACCTTTGCTGAACTCAAATCTGCCGAATGGGACATGATCCCCTACGGAGTAGAAACATACTTTAACATCCCAGAATCAAATAAAGTACAGTTTGGAAAAAGAAAAGACAAAATAAACTTTGTACATCCAGTCAACATATAGAGGAGGTCTGGAGGAGTTTTAAACAGCCATTTAAACCTGGGTAGCAACTTAAGGGGGAGGTTCAACAATCTTCAAATTCCTTTGAGTCTGTTCACCCATTTCTTTCGAATGATGGCAGAGTCCCCCAGAGAAAAGTCAGTTCATCCATCCAGTTTCCCCCTTGCTGCTTTAGATACGATTGGCAAAGAGTTAATGCCCTTGTGCAAGAGTGGAGAAAGGAAAAAAAAAAGAAAAATACCCACAAAACTATGGGTTGTGGGAGAAGACAGACTTCCCACAAAGCCACGGCTCCAGACATGTCAGTTCTTTCCTCGCCAGTTCCTTGGCTGTTGAACACCTGTGAGCTCACACATTAAAGTACTACTAGACAAACCAACGTCACAGCTCCACGGGACGCCCCGTCTTTATATGGCAACCTTGCAGGGGCCTTTGTCACAAAATCTTTACATTTAGATTGCATATACAAGTACCCCCTGCCAACATGGTGGCAGAGGAATATTTTCAACACTTAAAACACTCCCGACATACACACACACACACGCACACTTTTAGTTTAGTCTCTGCACCTCACTTTTGTGGACTCCTCGGAGATTTTTGCATGACGACAAGAGTCTGGATTGCAGTGCTCTTAGCTGCCGATTTTGTAAAGTGGGTCAGGCTGCATCAATGGAGATCGGCCAGTAACCCTCAGCCTTTTGCTGTGCTGTGGAGGAGTTGTGTTCAGTGTCCCAGCGAGCACTGCAGACAAAGACAGGTGTGCTCACGTTGTTAACGGGGGGGGTTCCAGTCCATTTGAGAATCTGGAGGCCAGTCTGAGAAAAACCCAGCTCTGATCCGAGCACACACACACACACACACACACGTGCACACAAAATTCTTTCACTCACATACAGTCATACAGACATATACTGAAAGTACACACGCACAGAAGGAAGCACTAGTTGATTCAGAATGAGAGGACGGCTGTTAAAGTGCAATATCTACATATAACCCAAATCAAGAGACCTACACCTCATCTCCACCTCTGGGAGTTGTCCATCTCCGAATTTCCCTGATAACCGACAGTTGTGGTTGCCACTTCTGTCTGGCCAGCAGAAGCTATGTAGCCCCTCTGCCAGTGCAGTGTTACAGCCAAAGAGAGTTGAGAAACACCTGGTGTCTTTGAGTTTGCTGAACAACTACGGCCGTCGTCGTAAAATGGGAAACAGGTCATCTGTAAAGATAGATCAGATGCAGCCTACTGATATGGACAGTTTTTCCTTTTGTTTCTGGACTTGTGCAGAGGGAAAGTGGAACAACCCATTGCTGAATGAAAATCAGGCTGGAGTGAAGTCTTCCCCCCCCCCTCCAGCCACATACCCCTCAGAGGTTATAAATCTTACAACATAAAGAAAGAAAAGCATTTCCATGTGCAAGTTGTTTTTTTCCAGTTTTTTTTTTTTCTCTCCAGTGAAAGCCAAGCAATGTCCAGTATTTGCAACGAGCTCTTTTCCATATTTCAAACTAGACAAAACCTTTTGAAAAAAATAAATAAATACAAAATAAAGTGTTTACAAATTTACATTGTGCACTAGTGTGGATGCGCAACACCCTCACAGTCATCCGATGTGGACCGTCGTACATCGACACAAAATGTTCTGACAAAAAGGTGTCAAGGAAAGCAAAGGAGATTTTTTTAAATCAAGCACAAGGGTTAGTGAAGGTTGAGTGAAGTGAAGCACAACGCATCTGCTCCCTGATGCCAAAGGCCATGCCAGGAGAGTCAGTTTCAAGCTGAAGGAGGGGGAGCTGCCAAGGACAAAAACCTCCTTCAGGAGTTTATGACACAAGAGTGACTTAGTAAATCTTTTAGGAATGACTCGGAGAGTTGTCTCTGTAGAATAGGAGGGTTTTGATTGGAATCTGGGTTTCTGGTCTTTTTTTTTTTTTTTGCCCTCCTCGAGACACTGATTTGGTTTGTGAAAAGGCTTTAGACATGGTGTGAGGAAAATCTACAACTAGAACAGGAAAAGCACACCAACAATCAACAGGGGCACTTATGATTCTTGAGGTCCCCGATATCTAAAAGGCATGCTGGATGGGTAGAAAGTTAGCAGACGCATAAAAAGAAACAAAACGTTAAGGAAACAGGCAATGCCTGAAATAATGGGCTGGCACTGTGCGAAACAGTGACGATTTAGACACATAATCGAGTCTGCTTTTACTATGCGCCGCCTAATGAGAAATCGGATTTGTTTTTTGGAACTAGCAGATTGCAGAAGAAAGAGTGCAAGCAAGGAGAACAACAGTCAGCACACATAGGTCCAGTATTATTGAAGGTAAAGAAAAATGGGAGCATTGAGGTTTTGGTATTTGAGGCATGCTGCTTTGCTCTAGTCCTCCATGCACATGGGCAAGTTGACAAAAGTGAAGACATTGTATTCTATCATGATGGAGAAGCAGAGGAAAACTGCGTAAAGGACAATGACATACACCCCCAGCTTGAAGTCCAGCCGCCACTTGTTCAAGTGGATCCCCAGCACCTGCGGACACACAAAGCCAAACATTAAACCTTTAGTCGTGCAGATAGGATTAGAAACCTTTTACAATACATCATGATCAAATGCATTGCCAACGAGTGTCCAAGTGCACAAAAGCCACTGGCACACAAGGCAGAAATGCTTCACAACAGATGCATCTGCACATCCCGCTATGATAACCTCTTGGGATATAACACTGAAGGCTGGCCATGTGGAGATATGTTTTGTTGAAGTCATAATGTAAATTGACAAAAAAAAAAAAAAAAATTAAAAAAAAAAAGCTTTGGACTTACATTTTGATAATGTTTACTGAACTGTTGAAAGTGGCATTCATTGAATGAAGATCATGGATTTTTACCATAAAAATAACACATTGCTCAACTTTACAATAAAGAATCAATTGCAAAACGTAGTGAAAAGTGATAACTAAAAAAGGGATTACAAATCAATTCATATAAAAACATTGTAGAGCTTCAATAAAAAAAAAAAGCAAGCAGTCTACTACAGCAGGAAACCTGATCCTCCTGAGAGTCATTACGCTACTTCAGCATGCTTACTGTGAGTGCCACAGAGCCCAGCAGAAGCACCACCGAGTACACCAACCCCCGACTGTTTATCATCACCTGAAAACACACAAATGTCACGTCAGAATTGAAAGCAAAGCATGGCTGACTTCTGGCTTTTTTCCCCATGTACTCAAACTGGGCACTGAAGCAAAAATGTGGCCTCTTGGAGATTAAACTTACCTCTGATCCATAGCTGACACACATGGTCTGTATTGCCCAGGGAACGCCAAGTCCCACGAGAATGTCAAACACGTTACTGCCAATGGTATTCGATACTGCCATGTCACCCAGACCTGATACACAATTCAAGTTTGGACATTATCGTTTTCCATCTAGACTTTGAAGTCCAAATCTTTCCGACAATGTGTTGGAAAACATCTAAAAAGGATGAGGAACTTATTCATTTGGAGTGGGTGGGGGTTTGGTAGATAGCCCTGTACAGTCTGTGCACACAGTGAGCACGCATTTTAATTTCTACCAAACAACAAGTGCACAGTCTCACATTTCAGATGTTTAATGCAGGTTATTCCAGTCATTGAACACTCAAAGTTAAAGAGTTTACACTGGGATGTTCTGGTAGACAAAAAGGATATCAAATGTTTTGTGGAGGGCAATAAAGAAAAAAACAGCCCAAAGAGATATTGCAAATGAGGCATTTAATGCTTTATCCACAGACGAAAGCAGTTTCTGCGACCACATTAAACGCAAAGACGTACCTTGCCGAGCAACAATGAGGCTGGCTATGCAGTCTGGAACACTTGTGCCTGCTGCTAGGAACGTGATGCCCATAATGACATCTGGGATTCCCAGAGTGTAACCAATTATAGTAACCTGGAGATACACGTGAAGATAGTCAGGGATCAACAGCATGGTTTCTCATCACATCTTTAAAACGTTCCTTTGATCAAAAACTGCTCTGCAAACTCACCATATAATTAAGGAATACTCAATATTTCAAATGACACTCACCATCCAGACCATGAAGTAGGAAAAGACTGCTATCCAGACGGTAGACAAGAAAAATGAGGCCATGAAGTATTTCTCCCAACGAGGCTTGGCACAGTTTGGAACGGTCAGGTACAGCAACAGGAGCAGAGGCCACGACAACAACCACTTCAGCTTGCTGCCAATACCATCTGCAGGATAAAAACGCACATTAAGGGATGGGCAGAAGTGTCTCCACATATGTAAGAGACACATTCACATTAGTTCAAACGTCACCACGAAAAGAATTCAGAAAAAAAATAATAAATAAAATCACATACTGGGAACATGAAAAGGTGAGATGGTTACATTTTCCTCCGCTTCAGTGGGTTTGTCCTCAGGCACATTTCCATTTTCGATTTCAACCTTTCCATCAATGACTTGTGTCTCCACCCCATTAGCAGCTTGTACCAACTTCTGACGCTTTCAGAAAAAAAACAAAAACTAAGTCATACTGAACACCAGCAGATCTGCTTTGCCTATTTCCCCACGCACAAACTAAAGAAAAGAAACAAGTTTGCAACACGAGCAATTATCCTTCTACCCTTTTGTAGACAATACAGTGACTAGTAGTCAGTTCTGACCCAACTATAAAACAACGGCAGCAACGGCCTAATGTACCTCTGTGATGATGAGACGACTGGCCATGCGTAGACGGGTTTTGGGTCCAAAGTGGCTGGTGACCATTACTCGGAGACCGGCCTCTGGAAACCTGAACTTTGAAGGGCTGTCGTTCATGATCTCATCCACCATCACCACTGAGCCACGGCTGTAAGCCTTACTGGGCTTGACTGAAGTGGAGAAATACATCCACAAAAAAAAAAAAAAAAAGAATACATATGCACAAGTTTTATTAACTCTTCTATTAGCATACCTTATAGTACAAACTGAAGCTTTACAAGAGACTTGGCACAGAATTTGCATGCACAGCAAGATTCAAATTACAATTGTGTGCAACACATTTCTTTAAATATGCATTCATGTTGGATATCAGTTAAACCATATAATTTCTTTCCCCAACAGTTCTCAGATGATTATTATATTATGATTTGTGTTTTGTTTTAAATGTTTGGGGATAAATAAAGTTTATTTTCTGTATTCAGTCTTACTTGCATTTCAGTGCGTGCAACTATTTTGCACTATAAATTCCTGTACATCCCCAGAATGTAAACCAATGGGTAAGACTGCATTTGCCTTAAAATGTGAATGCTGCAAATATAAACTGCTGAATGGAACCGTTTCAGACTTCAGCTTCTAGTGGAAGTTGGTTGAGAGGCAAAGATGGGAATGTAAAATTTTACCTCCCTTGTGATGCTCGCTACTGGCATCCCTGAGGTAAAAGGCTGCCACATACAGAAAAAAGCTGGGTTGTTAATGAGCGTGTTGTGCACAGTTGATATGATTTCTGGGAACTGAACTTTAAATCGTTTTCCCAAATTGCCTGGTGCAGCTTTGAAGTTTCCCTACCGGTTCTGAATATTTATGCACCGACAAAGATTGATTTCAAAATCTAAGTCACGGCCGATTTTAAACTCTTCCATCTTTATTACAGTTTGAGACTGCCTCAAAAGTGCCCGACATATTAAACAAATGGTCAGTCCTGAGGCACACAGAGAGGCTTTACTGGCAGCCATTTGCCTTTTGTCAGAAAATTACCTTTAAGATACAGTGTTTGGGGAATAAAACAAGCTCTACAGTACACTTATTAGCTTAACTCGGCTCTAATTTGACTTATTATTCATGCACCAATACTCATAAATTAATTGTGTAAACAGAGCCAGCAGAACAGTTCCTCTTGTGAATTTCATTACCAGTTCAGGAGTGAGTAGGTCTACGCTCCAGAGACTGGCAGAAGAAAATAGTATGGAAGCAGAAACATTTGGCACACAGCAAACACAGACAATAAGCAAGTTTAGTAAGGTTAAACAGACAGGCACGTTAGCACAAATATAAGTGGAGAAGAGTTAGGTTGCTTGGGTTAAATGTCACTGATTACAGGCTTCTGAAAAGTTGGAAGCAGGAGAGAAAAAGGCTCTAAGGTAATCTAATCCCATGTCATTAAGGAAATGGCTTTCAGACGTACCCTGAACTTTTAAAAATAGATTATAAAGCAAACTAGAAATATTACAGTTCTAACATTCACCTGCATAACCTAAAACTACAGATCTAGAAAAGTCCCCATTTTATGCACAATAAAAAAAATAAAAAGGGGGGAAGGATTTAAAAATCACCATGAGAAAAGGGACGTTTTCAAAATTTAACACTTAAAGACTGAAGAAAATTTGTTTGAAATAAAACTTGCCTGTACCAACAGACTACAGCTGGTAGGCTTAACACACTATGGCATCAACAGGGGGACTAACCTGGGTCTCGTAACATCTGCCTACCTGCATTTCCTCGTTTCCAGACACAGCCTTGTTTTTAAAAGAATTTTGGAACACAAATGAGTATTATCAAACTGCATCCAGTAGTATCTCAGTCCAGTTGTGAGCAGAGATCAATATTAGCTGAAGCCGCACAAATTAGTTGAGCAGAAAGGAGAGGATTTTAGCCACAGACCCTGCAACCAAGGGGAACGTCCACAATCGTCCAGAGATTCATACTCAAATCATCCATTGCACGGCCACCCAGCCTGTCTGATTAACCTTACCTCCTGAGAGCAAAGGCGATGACGGGTCGTCATCCCAAAGATAGTCATAACAAGCATTACCATCCTCCATCTCACTGCTGGCTGCCGCGTTACCATTGGCCACATTTTTGCTAGACTTCCCCATGAAGAACTTCTGCATGCTGGAGTTGAATCTAAATAGACAAAAGCAGACCATAGCATATGTAAATTAGACCCTACCGCAAGTCATGGACTTAAATTATTTCAATATCCTTAAAAATAAATTTAAAAAACGCATGCCTTTGAATACCATGTAGACCATTAAAGTTGAGGAGATGCTGAAAGTGTTTGTTATTTTACAGAAATGTCAAGAATTGGGTTGATTTGTATTACTCTTTAGTCTTAGTGATTTGTTGTAATGGCCTAGTTCAGATACACACTTCTATTATTGGAGAAGATTCCACTGTAAAGTTACTTTTTGGCATTCAGTGCAAATTAATTTTAAAAAGGAATCCATGCAGCTGCTAGATGGGACATTTGACACTTTAGCTGGTTTATATAATGCAGATAATGTAAACAAGTTAAAGTGTCAATCTGTCTTGTACCCATTGAAACCATGAATGTTGCAATAGTTGCATTGTAGCCATTGTTTCAATTGTGAAACATTGTCGTGACATCCTTCAGTTGTGGTCAGAGAGCTACAGTTCAGTGGTTCAGGGTTTTGTTTCTTTTCTTCCAAAGTTAGCGGACTGCAGCAACAATATGTGGAGCTCACCACTGTAATTTGTATCATAACGGCATCCGTTTTTTTCTTTTCTTTTAAGGGTGTCGGGGGAAATAAACAGTATTGCAAGTTAATGCAAAAGAAAGTCTTTGAAATGTTTCATCCTTTGGAGGGGAGTAGATGATTCTTCGTTTAATAACTTAAGACCACATGCCCTGGATATAGCAAAGGAAGATGTAGTTATGGCTTGGCTTACTGGCCAAGTTTGTCAAATACATCAAGAACAATCCACCGACAAACCAGAGTAATTCGGACATGGAGCCGTTCAGAAAGTATTTTGTCAGTTTTGGAATTGCCGATCAAACAAAAGAAAAAGCAGAGTTTTCTAAATTATGTATCACTTTGTCAGCTTTTATCTGGCAGCATGTGTGTCACGAGGATGAAAATGTTCTAAGAAATCATTTGTACTCTGGCCCTGGAGGATTTGTTTAGAGCAATGATTGTTTTATAACAAACCAACTGTTGTGCCTTTTGACTGGAACAGCCCACCACCCCAAAAAAAATAAAAAAAAGGGGCAGTGGATATTTTGGGAGAAGGGAGATATGACAGCATATCCTAAAGTAAGCACTTATTCCTTCAAATGATAAAGAGGAGAGTGATCCGTTTAAGCCTGTGCTCTTAGCAGCAGTTTGCTCTCTCCCTGCCATAAGAGTTTAATCTTTCTCCCTCTGCAGTGGCGGAGAGTAATGCAGATTATCAGCTGGACACAGACGGCACAGGACTGGACAGTTTGGTTGCATTATTCAGTCTGCACTGTGAGAACACAAATGAGGTCTAACGGAACACTCTTCATCAAGTCTGACTGGTTCATTTGAAATATTAAATTCAAAATGCCAGAGAATTTCAAGAAACGCTGCATTCCAAACAAGTCAAATCGCAGAAATAAAAAGTCGCACAGTCGTTTAGTTGACATTGCAGCACACGGTTTGCAGGAGAAAAACCTGCTGCACCTAAGCAGAAGCCATAAATCTGACACTCCCATCCAGCTGGAAACTAGCCATGTGAGAGTTATTTATACTCATCTTCCAAAGGTTGTTGGTGTGCCATACAGCAGCACAGAACATGTCATGCAGCACACCAATTTAAATAACTTTAATTGGGAAAAATATTTTTAAAAATGCACAACTCACTTCATTATAAGGATGTATCCTGCATACATAAGAACCAGCACTAAACTCTCCCACCTGAAAGAGAAAAGACAAGTCAGGCCCCCCCTCCCTTTAAACAGTTCAAAAAATAAAATAAAATTAGCAACAGTCATCTTGAGTTTTTTCCTTTTAGATAATTTTACACAGCTATTATAGCAGCCAGATGACGACATTTTAATTAGTTATCTATAAACGGTTCAAATTACAGACTAGTTTGACTTTAATGTACCTTTATGGAGAGACACACTTTTGTAAAGTGATGAGTTAAGAGATTTTCAGATTAAAAGCCCAAACGACAAAGAAAGGCTAAACGGGGTTAAATAGTTCAAAAGTGTCAAATATTTAGTACATTTAGTCGTAGGGAAAAATAAATAAATAAAAAATGATGACCTAAGCAGGTGGGCTTAAAGCCTTGGTACTCCAGTGCTCCAAAGCAATTAAAGTTCATCACATCTTTACACAATATATACACTTAAGTTGCGCATCTGACACACTTCCAGTTGCTTGTCTTGCATATAAATTACGTAAGGAGTTAAACTGCTTGGACTAAAGTGGTCTATATTTAGCTGGAGATTTTCAGGCCTATGCGAGAGCTTCGACTCAGCTGCAACACTGAAATAAAGCAGGTCTTGGATAATGGAAACTGCAACAGCAGAAATGAGTAAAGTCAGAGAAACACCTCAGGAAATATTCTAAAAGCCAAGGTCAGTACGGAATTTGACACTGCTGTGCTGCTAAAATAAATTTTTTTTTTTTAAAGTAACCTTTTGTACAGTTATGTTTTTCTTGACAAATGTCAACATTCTGTTCAAATACGGACCTTAGCTGGATGAGTTACTTACCAAACTATCTTCTCATCATAGATGAACTGAAAAAATGGCAAGAAACGGTATTAGATTTTAGGGGTAAAAAGGGCATTTTGGCAAGAAAGTGACACGTGCAATTGAAAAATAGTGACTTACTGCAATCAGAGCTATGACAGACAGGGTGTAGTAGAAGGAGTCCCTGAATACCGCCCACCATGTCAGCATCACTACCTAAGAGTTCACAAGCACATGTGACTCAGCGTTCGCCATGCCTTTGCACATCACATTTTCAGTTGCCTTGACTTATTACCCCATGTCAAAAGCGAAGGATTACGGAATGATGCAGTTAATTCAGCTGTGACATCGCCATCCTGACCAGGAATGTTAATCAGCCACAACAATCGCATGACAAGTAATGATCATGCAAACAGCGTTTTATACAACATTCCTTTTAAAAACAGACTTTTACCATTAGTGCTTTATTGTGTAAAAGGTCCTTGTTAACAGAATGGCAGCAGCTTTAACACATTTGACTATGAATAGAGGGAAAAATCTGCCATTTAGAGCAAATAAAATTCAGCTCCCTTCCCATTTGTTGACTTAAATCCTTATTGCATCATCTAAAAATGATGTCACCTTGCTATAAAATGCACTTTTTTGGCCTAGTCATGTATGCCGCATATTTGATACGTTTGCGCCTTTAAGTTGCCATTGTCCCCCTCAGCAAAAAAAAAAACGAATTGTGTCACACATGTGCTGCTTTGCTTTGTCTATAAATAAACAAAATGATGCAGGACTAGCAGTAAGTCACGCCCTCCGATTTGCATGTGCACACGCACCTGTCCCGCAAAGATCCCGCAGACCCCGATGATGCATAGGATGTTGAAGACCGCCGAGCCGACGATGGTCCCCACCCCCACGTCGCCATGGGTGATAAAGACACCTGCACACGAGGAGGCAATCATTCAGAACCAGCGGTGACACCAACCATCTGGGAACGTCTGTGCGTGAACGCTGCACATGTGCTGTACCAATGACAGAAGCAAAAAGCTCTGGAGCAGAACTGCCAGCTGCCATGAAGGTGGCTCCGGCAACATCTTCACTCAGATCTAGTTTCTGTAGAAAAACGAGAGGGGGGGGGGAAAGTGTTTTTATACTTTGAAACGCGCAGTACAACTCATGAAAACCCAGAGTTCGGAAGTACCTCGCAAATCTTTTCCAGCGCTGTCACAAAGTATTCGTCACACGTTATAGCCAGAGCCAAGAACATGTAGAGAGTCTATTAAAAGAATCAGGAGTGCATAGTTACTTAAGATACATTATCCAGCATCATGGAGGGCTTAATTTATATATAAAAAAGAAATACATAGATGGGTGACAGGGAGAGCAAAACACTACATTTACAAATCAAAGCCTATTGAATCCAAATAGCTTTTCACTCAGATTCTTCCCAATTTGAAAGACCAAAACAACCTGCATACTCCCGATACGAGAAGGAACGGCACAAGGCAGCCCATTTCGGCAGCCGAGTACAGAGCTATAAATTATAGATTAGGCATGACATCAGGGGCCCGGTGCTCAGATGTGCATGCTCCTCTCTATGCTATCCACAGGGGGCAGTGCAGCACTGCGGTATGAAAAACACATCCATCTCTCCTGCTCTGAGCAGCGAGGCCAGGACAAAAATCATATTTCAAGCGGAACATAAAATGCCAACAGAGGTGAACTTTCTTGGACTGCGGCTCAAATATCAATTTTGAACATATTTTGAGCAAGCCTTTGTTCCCTACAACCTTATGTCACATTTTAAACCCCAAGCAGCAAAATATAAATAGTGCCCGTCCTAAAAGAAAATACAGATTTAAGAGCAAAGATGTTTTTCTCTCCAGTACATGAACTACATTCCCTGAATCCACTCGAACAATTCATCAAATCACATCTGTAAATACGGTTTGTAAAGACGCAATTCATCTGTAAAGACCTGGTAAATTTCCCTACTCTGTAAAGACCTGGTAAATTCAACCTTAAGTTTTCACTCAATTCCTATAGCTGTGATTTAGGAATAAGTCAAGAAACATTGTTAAAAACTAAAAATACAGTTCCACTGTATCAAATTATAAAGCTTTCAACACAGACTCTTGAGATGGCCTCAGATAATGTGAACCATTAAATCAATGACTACTTGTAGAAGCTATATTTAGAAAGACAAGAAGGACGATCTATACAGAAATTACATTCGTCTTCAAAAAGATCATTACGTCATTTTTACTTGTTTACAATTCTCATTAAATGTGAAAGAAAGGGGAGATCATTGTGAGAGCTAAAGAGTCCAAGTTAGTCAATAAATTTGATTTCATCTATGGCAAGTCACAGATGGAATTAAGCGAATGGAGAAATCTCTGGACACAGATTGAGGCTGAAAGTCTCAATGGGGTGATTCTATTAAACCAACAAGTGTTTGTTACTGCACCTACAGTACACAATGCAAGTTAAGCTCCATCCGACACCTCTAACCACTTCGAAAATAAGTGACAACTGTCCACATAGTGGCAATGTCATGGAAACATCAGCGTAGCTAGAAGTAAGGCTCATGAAAAGGAAAGTTGTAAGAACATTCTGGGGCTGGACGAGGCTTCCAGAAACTCTTCAGACTTGACAGGAAATGTTTGTTTTTTTGTGCTGGGCTGTAAAGATGAATTCTGTCAACAGTTTAGAAAAATCACTTCTAAATGGGTGATCACAGAGGTCACATTCTTCAGGATAAGAAAGAAAAGACATTAAATTATTTGTCAGCACATTGCTAAATAGAGTGAGTTTTAACGCATACTGCCATCCGAACTTGAATATTTTTACCAAAAAAAAAATAAAAATAAAATGGGTGTCACAGCCTTTTATACTCAACCATTTTAAAATGGCACTATATTGTGCGTTTAAGCCTATGTAATAATCCGACAGTACAGCAACACTAGAGCAAACACTTACCGCCACAATGTGTAGCAGAACGGCGCCACTCTTTCTTTCGTCGTTGGTGAAAAAGTCATCCGGGAACTCGTGTATCGCTGAGGAGAAGAAATGTCAGTTACCACACATCAGCAGCATGACTGCAAGGTACGCATGTACCCGCCCCACCCCGAGACGACTCCACGATGTGCATCATTCTCGGATGCACTGGCCTACAGTGTTCTGTTGGTTCAGTTTAAATTTATACAGTTCTGCATTTCCCCCCCCCCCCCCTCTCCATGACCTTACCGATAGATTTAGTACAGAATTTGCTGTCCTCCAGTGTAACAGACGTGTTTTCCCTTATTGAACAAGTAGCTCAATTAATACAAACAAAACAAAAAAAATTCATGTTGGCGGGCTGTCTCACCTCCACATGGACATCAAAACCTTCAGGTATATTAATAGTTTCAAGTCATAGAGAATTAAAGCGACCAGGCAGAAAATGCTCCCATGCTGGGGACTCATCCATCATCCAGAGCTCCAGCTGGAGCACAGTGTGATCATGGAACCACCATACGGCTCAGACCTGAGAGTACAGCCTCTCCACAGAGCACCTGGCTGGAGACAGAAGCTCACCGTCTCCCTGACAAGAGCTAGCATCTGTGGGGAGTGACTTCTGTCCGACCTGTAGGCTCACCACTCCCCTCGCCTAGAAACAATACTGGCACATTACTTTTATTTACACAAGCTTGCACAAGATGTCGTTTATGCATGTAGACGAGTAAATGATACATTATACGAGTAGATTTTAAATAACTTCATTCCAGACGGGTAGAAATATGTAACTGTATCACATGTGAACAACAACCTTTAAAGTCTCCGTTAGAACTTTACGTTGCAATACAAATAACCTGACTTTCAGAGGAATTTCAAACCGAATCGTTCATGAAACCAATTCCAGAAAATCTCAATCAAATCTATGTGCAAGCAAAAATTGTGAACATTTCCCAGCAATAGCTGCAAACTAATGGAAGCTGCAACTAAAAAAAAAAAAAAAATTAAAAAAAACTTTTCCTTCCGGAATGTATGCATCACAAATGTATTCAGTTCACATAGGCAGAGACTAGCCTAACCCATTATCAAAAGGATATATAAACGGAAATTCACATTATTTGCATCTTTCCGGTCTTCCAGTGCACTGATGCATCACCTCAGTCTTTCCAGGTGTAGTGAATGGTGCAACCAAGAAGATTATTCCCACTCATGCTTTGATGTTCGGAATGCGTGTTGCACATGCGGAGCATATTTTCCAAAAGGAAACCATCAGATAATCTGTTATTTGGTTCAATTTCACAGTTGCATCATTATAGATGGCACCTGTTCCAACACAGCACAGACGTAAAACCAAGACGCAATAGCCACAGCACAGTGGTTCCACTAAAATATACAGAAGTTGACTACCTGAGCCAGCAGAACAATGCAGATTATAGCATTCAGAGAGGATTTGGGGCCTTCTTCACATATGAAGAGGAACAGCGCTCACCTGAGACTCCATACTGTACTATTTGTACTGTACATCTGTACTCCACAGAATCCAAAAGCTCTTTATCAACCTTATGTATTTTGGATGCAAATTTATTCAAACTTTGTCCAACACGTTATCTTTGTAATAAAAACCAAGTAATGCTAGGGAGTGGAAAGCATGGATTAATCTAAATGAGGCTCCCAGCATATGAAAAATGACTACATCCATAAGATTTAAAAAAACTCCAGGACCTGTTTTTAAAAAAAAAGTTCTTGGCATGAAAATTGTGCCACTTTTACCTTCCGTGTTACTTGCAAGTATAGTTAAAGCCATACACGCCCTACTCTAATCAATTAAACGCTGCCATCATCCAAGTTCTTTAGCTACCAAGTTTGTTCCTTAAGACTTCATAAGATCCATCCTGAAGAGTATAAAAATAAAACATTTTAAACAGCAGTGATGACAGGTAGACAGCGGTCACCTCAGGCCTGTAAACAGGTCGGATGGCGTCCACAGAGCTCGTTGCTGTGTCCTGGCAACAAAAGGTCAAACCAGACATGAACATGCTTTCACAACCATTTCCCACACAAGGGCAAGGCAGGACATACAGAGCAAAGGGATCCATCTCAAATGAAGCACATCAGCAGAGTGGTCACATTCGAGAGTTGATAAAAGAATAAAAAATTAGAAAAAATTGATCGATAAAGTAGTGATGTATGAAGCATTTCAAACGCTGCAGATTTAGAAAAAAAGAAAATCAATGATTTACCACTTACGCTTCAACACAGCGATCACCGACAACCCAATTATAGTATGACTTTTCCCATTTAAAATTTGATTTAGTTTGTTAATTTTATCATTTATAGCCAAGCACCCTGATTAGTCTCAAAGAACATTGTAGGGATGATTTTTTATTAACCACCATCCAATAATTAAGATATTTGCCATTTAACAATTCTATTTTTTTTTTCCAGATATTTGACTAAATGAGCCATTATACAGTCAAAGTTAAGAACATACAGAAAACTTACCCAAAGTCTTTCACAATTAACCTTTTACACTCCTTACAGTGCAATAAGGTACACAATAAGGACCTACCTTCAGGAACATGTTTTGCTGTGCCACCTCCATTCAAAAATCTAAATTGTTTGTAATTCCACACATAACAGATATGAATAACTTCTGTCTAACAGTTCATGTCACTTCATCCAGAGGCTGTATTAACTTTAATAAGCTCAATATATGGACACCAAAACCAAAGTATTTTCCTACAAAACCTGCTCTAATATTTTAGGTACGGCCTTCCGTTGTCCCACAGACATGGACTGATTGGACTGTGTGCGTCATTCCCATTGTGTTGGCGTCAGAATGAAAAAAAATGGGCCCATCTTTATCCTATTTTGCGACAGTTAAAGCCTCAATTTGTCATTTTGAAAAATTAATGCACAACGTGTTAAAATACAGTATTACACAAAACAGACGAGTAATGCGAGCAAGATGTTTTGGCACAGTGCCTCGTGCTGCCTTCTGTCACTGCCCGCTCTGACCCACAGACCAGCCAGGTCATTAAACGATTACAATTGACACACTAGTACAGCAGTGGAGAGACCCCTCAGCATAGAACGCTTCCTCTGGGTCATTATTAGCCCATTAGATAATTAGCTTGCTCCAGCAGACATCTGGGAGCATCGTGACTGGAGTGAGACTGACAGGCATTCTTGTAAACAAAAAAAAGCAACATCACGAGTCAACTTATGGAAAGATCAGCACAGGCTTTGCTACCCTAAAAGCCCTGCTCGAGTCCGCGGTTTTATTCGCCGAAATGTCACATGTACATATCTCACATTGTCACGTAAGCACCTTAACACATGTGATTACACCAGCTTTAACCTGCTCACAAACCTATTACTTTTAGCTTTAAGCTTGAACGCCTATCAAGAGTAGAGACATTTGAAAAATGTTTACAGAAATTAATTTCTTTAAACGGCAGCCGAAACGACGCCGTAGGAATAAGTCAGACATGTCCAAATTGCTCAGAAAATAAAGTGTTTATGCAGGTGCTAATGGTGCTTTTGTTCCATCACTGACATGAGAGCAAGAAGCAAAATGAGGTTTGTTTCCATTATCCTCAGCACCATAATCCTGCCCTGTGTAATTCCCTCTTTAAAAGCCTCCTTGTGGCATTTCCCCTCAAGCTGGCAAAACTGCATTCCATCATTATACTTATTCCATCATTATCATCATATATGATACTCACTGATAGCTTTACCCAACATCTTGCTACCCAGCACATATTCAGCCTCGGCTCTCCCCAAAAATCTAATTGTTTGTGTTGCCAACGATGGGCCTCTCTGCTCATTACCATTTACTCCAAAAACATTGCTTTTGCAGGGTGATCACACCTCTTCCTGTCTGAGGTACCCCGAGTTAGTCTTCTATACACCACTTTAAAAACAGAACAAAGGCAACCCAATTGCATTCTCAACCCCTTCCTTAATTCAGCTCTATTTTGTGCTGCCCTTTCTCTCAACCAGAACAATTATGCCACTCAAGTGGGAGTTAAATTTATGGTTTCAGCTACATGTTTATTAAATGCAAATTATTCCTCCTGCAGAGCATTAGCTATGGTGCTATGCCTCCTCTCTAGCATTCAGCCCAGAGGAGAGGGGAGATATGTGGGAAAGTAATATCCTGCATCAACTTATTAGCTAACATGAATCTCATGTCCTAAATACTGACAAGAGCATATAAAACATTTGAATCCTCAAATGAAGCCATTATCATTTTAGAGATAGTAGTGCATTTTGCCTAATTTAGGTGAGAAATAAGAGTGCGCTTGTTCCATTCATTATGGGATCACTACAGGGAAAAATCAGGAGTGTGTGACACAGTCTGCATGTGATGGTTTTAAAGCTTGTGTTGATCACGCAAGGGTGGCATTTCCTTAATAATGGTCAGTTTTTACTAAATAATAGGAAATTAATTCAGTTTCATCCATCTACCACATTAATCTGCACCAGGAGGAGACCATGGAGGGGGGAACCCTGCCTCACATGCAGCCACACAAGCATTTAATACTGAGTTATGATCACAGAAAAATATTTGCCAAGTGATAAAAAGCGACACTTCATTAACATCTCAAATTTAGAGCAATCACATAGTACTTTTCCTTCTACATCCAAACAACTCTAAGTTGTTTTGACTTTTATCCAAGAGGCTTCACATGAAGATATCATGAACTGGATGACCAAGTATCCACACCAATTAGTCTGAAGTTATTGTTAAGACGTTTAACCAAATGAAGTGTTCTGCAAAATAACTAGGTTAATGATGATTTGTATTTATGGCATTGTTGAATATCAACTCTGCACCCTGAGGAAAAAATAAATAAAATAAGGTGCCTAGTTTAATATAGTACCAAGTCTGACTATGTGTGAGGATTTAGAAGTTAGATTGACCACTTTGGGTTCAGAAATTAGACATTTCACATATGTGGTTTGCAAAAAAACACGTTCTGTGGAAGCCTACCACTTATAATCAAGACAGAGCACAAAACAGCAGTTTCAACAGCACCTTGTGTTTTCCAGGAGTCATTACAGAATTGCCTATAAAAAAAAGGCAGCACTTATGATGAAGGACTGCCCTAGCAGCACAAATCTCAAGACAAGCAAAAACATTAGCACCCCCAGGAACCCAGAAAGAGGCTCCCTCGATCACAGGAATAAATGACCAGAGCTGGCTGAATTTAATCTGTGCAACCACGGACAGACCTTATTAAACTGGCCCTCAGATGCTGCAGTGACTCTGCATAAAGTTGGTGCAACAAATGATAATTCTCATCGAGCCCAGGCCGGCTCAGCCAATGGTTTATTATAACCCTCGTTGGGCTGGTGCCACTTTTTTTTTTTCCTTATTACACTGCCAGGTCATCAGGAATGACCCAGCAACCATCTCTCTATTGCTGCAAGTGTACCGCATTTCCATAATTGAAAAGATGAGGATACAATAAGGCTTTCACTCCCCCTCAGAAAGGCTAGAGAAAAAGTATATAAAACTTTTCAGGGACAACAGAAAGGAGTTACAATGATTCATTGATTTCATTTAGAGTACAATAAGATTAACTTTTTTTGCTATTAAAAATAGGAGAATGCTATCCCAAAACTGTAGGCACAACCTTCAAGGAAATGTAATTTTTAATACAACTGCACCAACTGGGATGTACGCCAAATGAGTCTAGAGGAAGATTGATTCAGTGTGGATTGCAAATATATTGCATGATATATTACCATTGTGAAATGTGAATTTCCCATTAGGTGATATTACTCATGTTTTTCAAAAGATATGTGCGGCAGACCCACATAACGGAGCTTTGTGCGAGTGTCGTTCACGACTTTGCATGCAGTTGTGTTTTAGACAAAGAGGATAACAGTGCTTTGCAAAAGACCTGAAGGAAGCACTGATGCTGATGAGTCACATGCAGATTGTTGTGCACCGTTGCGTGGCAAGACTCCGCTAAGCAGCTTCACACAACACTTGAGAACGAAATTTGACTAAGGTTGAGGAAAGGCAAGCGGTATGGTACAAAATTAGCACCGACAACAAGCCAATTGAAATCGTTCCTTTTGTCAAGATGATTGCGAAGTGTTCGCCATTTTCTATAACTAATCTTTTACAAAACTTTAGGGAAAAAAATAATTAGAGCAACATTTGAACTCAGGTGGTCCAACAATGACAGGATTATTCACATGACTTGAGAAAAAGAAAAAAAAAGGTCATATGATAAAGCTTACATCAACACCACAAAGCTGTAGGCCAGATAAGAGGCCAAAAAAGAAATGTGTGGAATGTGAAATCCAGTCTTGTGCCTATGCTGCCAGAGATGTTTCAATGAGAAGAATGGATGAGGAGAAATAAAAATACAAAAAAAGTTTAAGGGTGGGGGCAGGGAAACAATCAAATATTCGAAGGAAAAGTGAACAGTGCAATCTTTAAGAACTTCAGACCCCTGTGGGACCTTTAGGACAAAGAATCCACATTTAAGACAGTCGGTGCCAATTAGTGTCAGCAATATGACAACACAGATGTAATAATACTGGTGATCTCATTCATCCTCAAGGGACTCAGAGTAAGGACGGTTGGACTACTGCTATTGTCCGTACCCTGACATGGGTGATAAATAAATACAGATATTGGTACCAAGTTCTGAGATGTGCCATGCAGGCCAATTGTTCCAAGGGGTTTGTAAACTACAAGAAAGGGCAAAAAAAGAAAACATTTCTGAAGATTTGAATGGCTTGTCATGTTGTAAAGTGCCCAAATGGCATTTAACTTTCAATCCTGGCAGCTTCATTGTCATAGTGTTTCCACTGACTCATGCTGGGTCACACAAAGCTCATGCAAGTTTGAGTCAGACTGAAGCAATTCAAATGGCATGAAAACAGTTGGAGTATGACGCATTTGGCATCACCAAGACTGCTTGTGTACCTTTTACGGTCATTTGTAGAAAAGGGGGGGGAAATCTATCCTAAACAAAACTGATTAACAGTGCTACTTCCTTCAAATTAACCAATTATAACAAGATATACCCAGACTAAGACAAAGTTTAAAAAAATAATTCATACTAAACTAAAGTTGATCAGTAGTTCTTGAAACAATTTAAAGAGTAAACTTCAATGGCAGCAAGCTGTATATTTTTTTTTTTTACAGCAACAGTAAGACTTGGTATTATTTCAATTCCAGCAATTCTGTGATTTTCATTCTGGATCAATTCTGAGTTGCTCAACTGCACTCATCCAGCACAAAATTAAATTAACAGTGCTTCAATTGGAATCTGCTTTGTCTGAGAAAGCAGCCGATTTAAAGTTCTCAGGAAAAATAAAATAAAATCTTAAATAGTGTACCTGGTTCGGAGCAATTCTTTGGTTCTGTGTCATTTTCCATGGCTGAAGCCATTAGCCGTCTCCCCCAGTGTTCCAGGTTTGGATGCCCCTCTACAATCATTCCATGCCCTGAAACAGAATGCAGAAAGTTTTGTTTATTAAAACAGTTGGAAAAAAAATAAAAATAAGGGACAATAGCTACATCACACTTGCAGCCAATTCAACCAGTCAAATGCAGCAAAAAGTCTTCTTTGTTAGAGGGAAAACCTCGATACTCCATTTTGCAGTCAAAACTAACATGGCTGCTGATGCAGAGCGTGTTTCATGACCTCAAGCATCATGATCACGCTCATTAATCCAAACAAGGTTCGCTTTTTAATCCTTTAAAAGTTCTCATTTATGTAGATGTGGTATTTTCATCCTGCAGAGATAACACATCAAAATGCAGCTGTGCCATTATGTTTTCGGGGTGGGAGCATCATTTTTCATTAAACTCCTCTTAAGCCTCTGTAATGAGGACAGGAGAGAAGAAAAAAAAAAAAAAAAAAGTTTAAAATCTATTATGTAAAATTCAGAATGCATTGAGCAGCACTTTGAATGGCTGCCCTTTATGAAAACAAGTTTTGAAAAATACAGGAGTGAGATTAAAGAAAGAAATTGAAAAAAAAAAAGTACTGCAGTGTGAACTGAAATTATTCATTCCCAGGAGAATACCACAAGGACCGGCAGGCCAGGTTTGATTAATAAAGGACTCATTTATCGATGCCCACCCCCCCGCGCCTGTTCTGAAATGACAGATTACATGTTGATTGTGAACGACTGCGTCTCAAGGTTTCTCTGAACATGTGAATGTCTTGTGATCAGTCTGCTGCAAAGTCCCCTCGACAATATGCAGTGCTAATACTTTAAGGATAAACAATGGTGGAGGGAAAAAAAAAAAATCTCAAAGGAGACAATGTACAAACTCTGGCCATCAACTGACACACCACAGTACAGTGTTCCTCACCAGCTGTACACCAGCACAAAATCAGCCTTTTTTATGCAAATCCAGCCAAGTCTTCAGAGCTAACCGACCTTCTGAACACGACTTGAAACATCTCATTCCAAGATGTCTTTACTATAAACGGTTCCATTTCCAGTGAATGTAAACAGATGTGCGATAGATGGAATAAGGTCAAATATATTGTAAAGTTCAGAAGTTACTGGCCAATAGAGCAATTTCTCTAAAATCATGCATGTGGGAAATAGTTTTCTTTTGATAAACCGGGAATTAGTGCCATCAGAAATCACCTCGGCTGACTGTGTTGGTATGAAAAATAAGTATTCTCAAGTGAGCCTTTTAGTGCCGATCATTCATGTTAAAGAATTAAAAATGAGCTGCAAGTTGGTACAGCCTTCTACTCGCTTCATATTTTCAGAATAAATATTTTCATTAAACATCTTTCAATCCAGAAAAGTTCAGCAGGCACTGGATAAACAGATTATACACTAGGCGACCTCAGCTGCTTCCCACAACTCTGCCATCCCAAAGACCGAACCCTCCGGCCATCACGCCAACCTGCTCTTATAAAAACAACTTTCACTCGGCTGCCCCTGAACTCCATTTACTTTGGTGCGAGCGTTGCCGGAAATGGGATTATTGCTAAATGGTATATCCTAGCATTTGGAATAATCAACATGTGGACAACGCATACCATGGAAAACTTAAGCGGACATAGGAAAATATTCTTATTTCAGGAAACCATCCCTCCAAATCACATTTGTACTGGCAGTTATAAGAAGCCACATGACCACAGATGACATGAATTGTACTTTAAAAAACAGAGACTGATGTTTCCTAGAAGGTTAAACAATGCAGAGGAAAAGCATGTGCATGCATGAGCTATTCTAGACCATAGTCTCAGTGCCATCCATCTGAAGACATGTGATTCGGTCAGCACCTCCGGGTAATAAGGGCTGAAGTCTGTTGCTGTTGTTGTCATATCTCTAAACTTGTGCTACGTCCAATTTCTTCCCCCAGCCCAGAGCATTTGTTTCCATGGAAATCTCATGAAAATTCATAAATAAAATTTAAAAAAAATTCTGTCTAAGCACCAGGAGAAATTTGAATTTTAGCTTTTATAGAACTTTACATCTAGAAAGGTCCAATACAGTCCATTTAGAATGAGAAATTTTAGCTATTCTATAGCAACTCAATACATTTGCTCAGGTGGCAGTCCCTTTTCATGGGAAATTGTGGCATGCATGTCAATCATTATGATCCTATAACAGTTTCAAAATCAAGTTACCTAAGGTATTGATTATCTTGAGATGTAAAGTAAACATTTGCTTTTGAAAACTCTTTCCTACTCTGTGGGGGGATGAAAATGTCTGAGTCAAGATTTTATAGCTGACCAGGACAAGACAGAACACAGATAAGCACTTAAATCCGCAGAGCACAACCAAGAACTACACAAATGTATGCCAAAGTTCACACAGCTCATTTGTTCTGGGTGAACATGTACATTTTGCAGCACAATTTGAAACTAATGGAAAGACATGGCAAGTTTTCATAAAAAGGGGCTTGCTAAACATAGCTGGAAAGGAGATCTGTAGTGCATTTAAAAAAAAAAAACATGCAACATGGATCTGGAGGTGCAGTCTTCTCAGGTACATACTATAAAGCTTGAATTATAACTCCGAATATGCCTTGCATTAAAAGCAGTTTTGTTCTTGGCATAGATTCTTGTACACGAATCCCATCCTGAGGAATAACGTTCTTTGTAGATATTTGGTCAGAGACATTTAACCTAGAGAAAATATTGCTTGAATATGACAGCTGGCAATAACAAAATCTAGTCATTTACTCAAAGTAATACGAGATGCCCAAATAAATGAGAATTTTGGGCTCCAACACTGATGCGTCACATCGGTTTCTTGAGAGCAACTGACCTGTTTGAGAGCTAATAAACAAATGGGATAAGTCAGTGTAAAAACTGATGCAATTAGGTCAAGTAAAAGAATGGATCACCAACACCTAGGACTGCGTTTTGGCAGGTGTCAGTTCTTTAAAAGTTCAAGCTAGTTCTCTTTATAGTTACCAAATTTTAACCAAACACTGGAGGCACTATCGAAATTTATATGCAGCAGGAATGTGGTGTATCATCTGTACTTTGACAATCTTGCACCAACTTAGTTTTCATATCAACTGGATAACACCCTCATCTTGTTTTAAAAAAATATTTATAAAGTGCAAAGTCGAATACAGATTTAAAGATTTGGGGGACTTTTAAAATTTGTTTTCAAATGTACCATTAATATCCAACACATGTAATGTGTAACTAGTGTATTTTGCCTGCGATGTGCAAACAAAAATACATAAACGAAACCTCACTTAAAGTTACATTTAAGGATATTAGGGCAAAGTACACAATGTTCCCAAAACATCTTTCTCCAAATTTAACTTGGCTGTAGTGTACCCTAGTCTAACAAAACCTTTGCCATATCATAAAAAGATTAAAATCATCAAGATGTTTAATAGACTGTTGCAGCCCATTCAGAAACAGCTATTTTGAATAGTGCATCAATTAAATACACTAAAGAAAAACGGCAACAATGGCACCTTAATGAGCATCAGAGACATGAATAGCCCGGTAGTATCATCCCCCTGTCTGTTTAAAAAGCCAAAGATGACACGACCAAGTTCAACCATCAAATCTAAATCCCCATGTTGTCAACGTGCTTGCCCGCTTTGCCCATTCGCAGCCACCGGTCAGCGCTCAGGCCGGCCCTGCCTCTCAAAACACCTGTTCTCTGCTCCCGTGTGGAGCTCCGTCACACATACGTGCACGCGGTCCGATCAGCATGCATGACACCATGTCGAGCCCCACCCCTAATGCATCACATCCCATCCATCTGGACCGCTCTCACCCCCCCACCACCACCTTCACAGTTTTGTGTTATGACAAATACTTGTTATAATGACTGAAAGATAAGGATGTCACGGCAATTCCATTACAGCTTTGATTATTGCTCACATTTAGGTCTCCAGGTTCAGAGAATTTCTGTTTCCTCCCTGGAGCATGTCACGTTCAAATGTCACCATTCAAAAGCTGATCAAAGGAACACCTTATGTCACATGACCGGAGTAAACTTGACCGATGATTGGGCTGACTGACTCCCAGACCATCCCTATTGATGAGAGACTTGCTGTCGATTGTATGATATCACTCCCAAATAATCTTTTAAGCCTCTTCTTTTAATGCAATTAAAAAAAATTAAAAAAAACTCCCAATAAATCTGCAGTCTGGTAGTTTGTGGGGGATTTACAGTCACTTTCAGCCAAGGGGACTCAGTAGTTGCAGTTACAGGGTTGTTGATTGGTCCTCATGTTTGAAAGCACTTTGGGGGGAAAAACAGGCAGCACTTGTCATGTTTATTAAAAATATTTTAAAATGTTCAGATTAATCTTTAACCTGAATCTTCATATTGCAGACAATGCTGTCCTAAGGATGCGTTTTGGCCAGTTAACCTTTGATCCCAGTGGTGTGACGGATAGGCCTATTCTTCACCGACAAAATGTCAAGGTTGGCCATTAGATTACATAACAGCGCGAGGCTGTGTGGGATGCTCTGCGTTTGCACGAGCTCTCCGTGAGAGTTCCGACACGTGTGCACGGGAGAGCTTGATGTTTGGACGGGGTGTGCACGCGCTTCCATTCAGCACGATCCACCAGAATCGTTTGATCGCTGCACCTCGGACATCATCCCGCCTTTGAATATTACAAAAAAATGCAGCCATAACCCCATCCCAGTGGTCAACGGTGGCCTATGCGTAAAAATAAAAAAAAAAAAAAAAAAAAAAATTCTCGGCATCCCTCGATCACCATGCGGAAGCAGGGAACGTGACCATGTTCGTAAACCGCCGTGCACAGTAGCGTGCGTGCGTGCGCGTGGAGCCCCGGGCCAGACGCGACCAAGACAGCAACAACCGTGATCTTGAGACTCTGGACACGCGATTGGCTTCCACGCTGCTCATTTTCATATGCGAGAAATAAAAAAAAAAAAAAGTACATTTTGGGTACAAATCCAAATTCGCATCCTCCTAGATCGATTCGGTTACCTGATTTCCTCGTGCGTGAGAAGCACGCGGAGCATGGGGGTGTCATTACGAGCGTGGCTGTCAATTTTTTTTAAAAACGTGCCGCCGCCACGACGCGCACACTGCGGCATACACGCTCTCCCACAGTAGGATTTTTTTTAGAGGGAAAATAAATAAATATATAAATACATTTGCTCTGACCCGACAACATGTGCAGCTGACTTTGCCCAGGGTGGGGGGGGGGGGGGGGGGGGGGGGGGCAGAAACGCCAAACGCACACGATTCTCTGACATGTCTCCTATAGACTTCCTTCACACAGAAAAAAAGGGACAGTTAGCAGTTTCTATCCAGATGTTCCCCTTTAGAGGATGTTAACCTGCCTCCCCTTATCTAACATTTCTAACGCTTTCATCATTTGCCCTTGCCATATGAGGCATCACGGTGATGCCAGTGTGCGTGTGTGTGTGTGTGTGTGTGTGCATGGTTCCACTGCAGATGTCTGAGCCGATCGGTCTCCGGTGTCCCCCCCTTCCTTTTCGGATCTTCCCCCAGCAGCACTCACCTGTCTTGGTCAAGATCGCCGACATGCCCCACGCCACGAAGAGGACGCTGCAGATGAAGCACACCTGGACGAACAGCATCTCCCGCCTCTTGCGAACTTTGAAGATCTTGGCGATGATCGTCTTCTTGGACGGGCTCACGGCGTCGGCGTCGTCCCGCTCCATGCTCGGCAGCTCGTTTTTCGGCCGGCGGCCACTTTTCTTCTTTTTTTTTTCTTTTTTTTGCGCCCTTGAGAAAACCGAAAAAACTGCCGCCCCCCCTGCTCGCCTCTTCACAGCCGGGATGCGGTCCTCATTTCAAGGCGTCCAGTTTGCAGATGGTGGAGAGTCAGCCGGACAGTTTCTTTCCCCCCCCTCCTCCTCCTCCTCCTCCTCTTCCTCCTCGTCTCTCAGCCGCTGGGAAAAAAGCCTCTCAGCTGCTGGGACTGGTAAACAAGGGGGGCCAATGACACGGCGGTCAAATTCCAATATATATAGGTGTCCAAATCAAGTCAGCGAGGCTTCTGAATTCGGATTCTGTAGAAGGAGAAGTGCTGGAGGGGAGCTCATAGCAACGCGCATCCTGTCCCAACATGCATCCTATATATATATATATTCCCCCCCCTTGTCGCTGTGTAGTTTTTTTCTGGTTCAGCGTAAAATACGTCCGCGTCCGCGGGCGCAAACGAGATTTCGCTCAGCTGCGCCGTAATCGCGATTCCTACGCACCTGCGCGCGTTAACTGAAACCAATCCGTGCTCATCAAGGTTAATTGTCCAAATTTCGGGCAGGCCCGTCCGTCGTGCAGTCCGCCTCCAGCGGGTTCCTCCCCCCCCCCCACCCCCTTTTTCAACGCGAATCCCTCCTCAGTGCGGAGCCGCGCCGGTGATGAGAGAGCGCTATCAGCTGCGCCCTTCACTGCCTCCACCTCCACCGAGACTCAGCTCCTTTAACTTTCCTGACAACTGCATGTGCAGAGCAGCCTGTTTAAAAAAAAAAAAAAAAGCCTCTCCATTGGTAAATAGCACCAGATCTGCCCACATCGATCATCCAGGACTCTGGAGTTATACTATCTTTCCCACTATTTGCGCATTGCCTTGAGCTCATTAAGCTGCTACGAGGCAACCCCCTCGTGCTACTCACGAAAAAGACTCCCCCCCCACCCCCACCCCCCACCTAAAATCCGTGTGCATTTCTGTTCTGCTGTATTATTAAAGCAAATCCAATATAGTTATGGGTTCTGAGCGCATCCCCTTTAATAACTGGCCCATACTAGTCGCCTGCCATCCTCATTTTGATATCACGGTGAATAATTGAGGTTATAGATCCTTGCAGCTCACACGCATCAATGCCTCAGTTCCCTCTCAAATAAAAAACCATGAAATCATTTCTAATGGCCTGAAGGGTTTCTTTTGCCAAGATTATAGCTTACGTTTTTTTTTTTTGCTTTTCAGAGAATTGCATCACATAAACTGGGCTGTTTGAATTGTACGTACCAGAAATTAATAATGTAATGGGGACTTTCATGTCAGTGGGTGATGTATGTCCTGCTCTGAGTGATGATTGTAAAGTAGCCGGTTGAGAACAAACATATATTCAATGAACATAAACGAACGTGGACGTTTTTTATGGTGCCCACATCAAATCAGTTTCCGCACAGTGACAACTGGATTCAGGTTCAACACACTCATAACTCATGTTTGATAGCTGGCACTCACACAAGTGTGTCACCAACACACAGGCCCACTGAGCACTCTGCAGTGATAGTGGGCTCAATGCAAATGATGTTGTCACCTGGATCTTTTTTGAATGATGGGTAATAATAGGGGGGCGGCAATTCTCTGGAATCCTAAGTGCAAGCAAAAATCAATATGTAATTTAATGTTGGGTTAAAGATAAAGCCACATATTATTCAAAATACTATCCTGTAATGCGCAGCTATTGTCTCTCAATGCGTGGAAAACTGCGATTTGAAGTAATATTTGTTCAAAAAGCTACAGTGACTACATTAAACTATCTCCTACGCACCAGAAAAAACAGATGGAAAACACTTTGAAACAGAGCTTTTTTTTAACGATACATTTCCAGTGCGATGAAAGTAAATCTTTGAAAAATTCAAGTCCATAAAAAAATGGCAATGGTGCCAGCCAAGAAAACAAATTGTCACAAAATACAACAAAATATATATTTTAGAAACATTAACATTTGACCAAAGAAATACTACAAACATTGACAAAAGAAAACTAAGTTTTTACATAACGCAGCATATGGAACATGTTGATGTTTTACATAATAACATTTTCAAAAGCTTAATGATTAGAACAACTATTCACAAAGTAGTTTGTTTTCATGCTTTCCCTGTCTGGTTGTGTGAAGAACACAACACAGCAGCAGCGTTGGGGGGGACTGGTGAGGCTGCGGAGAGCCGGCTGCTCCTGCTGCCTGCAGGCCTGCTGCAGGTCACCTTTTCTGCCAAGATAACCGACAGGAAATGTGCCTCAGACCCACAGCTGTCCGCACGCGCACAGGTTGACGGAGCTGAAACATGTACGCCGACATTTCGCCACCGCCGCCTGCTTTTTTCCACTTAAGCAAAAGCAGCATGGAAGGGGTCAAAAGCCTCGCAATCTCGTGCAGACTGAGGTTATGTAAGATCGGGAGCGTCTCTGCTGGTACAGAACGAGGCGGTCCGCCAATATCATTAACTGTCCTTTCCATGAGGCATCCAAGATGCTGTGCGGAGGGAGAACATAGAAAGGCAGTGCGGGTCATTAGCGAGGGGCTTTTCTGAATCAGAGGCCAGTTTCTTGTCCTTATCCAAAGACTGGGTCTTCTGCGCGCACACGTACACATCGACATGTGTGACTCGTGGTCATGCCAAGGGATTAAGTCCGGGCTGCAGCCTACACAGAAGGCAGGCAATCGGGGAGCAGCGCCAGGGCCTGCTTATAGAGATTTAGCCCATGCTTTACACTCCCCGCCTTGGTCAAACTTACACACTCGTCTTTTGCCTTGTGCACTTTCCAGTGAACGACTGCTGATCTCCAGCAGAGATGGTAAAGAGTGATTTAAATGCAGGCATAGGCTGAAACGTGCAGGAACGTGGAGGGACGGTAATGTGTTGTCTGATATGAATGCCAAACGTGTCATATCTTCGCCGGGCGCATCACTAATTGCTTGATGACAAGTGCTTTAACGACGATTGTTGCACAACAATTGCCATTTGACTCAGCGATGCTCACTTCGGCGTCCTACTTTATTTTTGTGATGATTCATCTTGTTTATTCGTCGCTTTAACACTCTGATTATGAGCCACTTTTAATGGACTGTACAGCAGAACCAACACGCGGTTTACACAATGTTGTGGTAAATGTGAGGATATTTTGTCAGTATCAGCTTTTCTATGTGGGCTCACATACCAATGAAGAGGCACTTTCTGAAGATGTGAGAGTCTAATATTTAGTCTGTAGCCCCGAGTTGTGAATGGTAAGAAATTAAATCTATTACTGATGATAGTCTGTTGTAAAATATTTAATCAAAAATATAGTATCTTTTTATGTCAATTGATACATGAACCAGCTCAGCTGTTTTGATAGGTTGACCTCTTTACCATAAGGTATATTTAGTTTCCTTTCTGGATCTTTTGATCATAACATGTTGATCCTCGTTGGCAATTGGAGCTTGTCCTACTTTTCACGTTTAAAGGAAATTCCATGTTCCTTCAAAGGCAGAGCGGTTAAAAGTCTGAAATATGAAATAGTGCGCCCTTTTTCTTGAATAGAAAAGGAGATCATCAAAAAGTTACAGTAGTAGTAATCCAAAATGAATGAATGGGTGCAGGGATGTAAACACTACAGAAAAAATATTAAAGGGAAATGTTTCTACATCTCAAGATTTGGGCTTCCATCAACTTTGTCATTAAAGTTATTCTGAAAATATTTAATTGTCATTCATCACAAAAGGAGAGAAGTGTTAGCATATATAGTGTTAGCATAGTTGTAGAGATTCCCCTGTTCTAAGTGGCTTGTGTGTTGGGTAAAGATAGCACTGAATAATCTGTATCTTTCTATCTTGCGCTCTTCCCATTACAACAAATATATTTTGATTAATCACCTGAAGCTAAGAGACAGATGGAGGGAGAAATATCCCCATTCTCCTGAACCATTGCTGAGCTCACTCTGGCTAATGGTGTGTGTGAATAGCAGAGTACCAGCCTGGTCTGCCTGCACACACACGTGAAAAGTCTCTGAAAACATGCTGATTTCACCCCCTTGCAAAAGCGTCTCAGCCGACTGCAGAAAAAATAAAATATTCATCTTGAGCGTTGGGCATACTCCGGCAGCACTGCAGGTTTATTTGTATGCCTGCTCAGGTATGAAGAGTAAACAGGGCGGAATCGAGCAACAGGGAGTTCTATCTGTGTATTCTGGAGGCAGCAGCCCTCTCTCTGGCTCTCTTCGTCTAACAGGACATGAAAACTAACTTGTACAGCGGTTGACAACATAGGACAACTCACTCAAAATGCACAACTTTTTAATATATGCATAGGTTTGTGGTACAGAAAGCGGTAAATTGACAACCTCTGTATGTTTTATGCCTACATAGGTCAGTAAATTGTCTTTTAACTCTTGGGAAATCAGTACAAAACACATAATAGTGGCTAAAAATGTTCTGACAAAAAAAATCTGGAAAACTGTCCATTAAACATTTGCTTTTTGAATTCAATAGAGATGTGGAGTGAACAAAATCCCATGTTATCTCAGTTGAGTTTGATACCCAGTATGTTGATACCACGTTGGGTGAAATGAGGTGATGGAGTTGTGGCGCACATGGTGGCAGAGGGTGGTTAATCACCTCCGGGGTGATGCCTCTCCCACTTTCAAGGAGAAGTCAGCAAAAACTCCTGGAGGGTGCGTAGGTCACTTTAAAATAAGTTAAAGTGTCATTACTGCAGGGTGTTCGTGTTCTTTTTTCAACCTCCTATACATTACCAGTGTTATATAACATTAAATATGCCCTAACGTCAATGGGAGAAGTACATCTTAGTCGATACTGATATTCTACATATTTTATTGTCATTTTAGATGTTTTAATACAGCGCCTTTCACATTTTTAACGTGCCTAATACACATGTCATACATATTTTACTTCCTAAAAGAGCCACCCCATCAGGTTAGCTTCCCTAA